CGTGTGTCTGAGTGTCAGAGTGTATCAGTATTAGAGTGTACTACCTGTGTAAGAGTTGTTAGAGCGTGTGTCTGAGTGTCAGAGTGTATCAGTATTAGAGTGTACTACCTGTGTAAGAGTTTTAGAGCGTGTGTCTGAGTGTATCAGTATTAGAGTGTACTACCTGTGTAAGAGTTGTTAGAGCGTGTGTCAGAGTGTATCAGTATTAGAGTGTACTACCTGTGTAAGACTTGTTAGAGCGTGTGTCTGAGTGTCTGAGTGTATCAGTATTAGAGTGTACTACCTGTGTAAGAGTTGTTAGAGCGTGTGTCAGAGTGTATCAGTATTAGAGTGTACTACCTGTGTAAGACTTGTTAGAGCGTGTGTCTGAGTGTCAGAGTGTATCAGTATTAGAGTGTACTACCTGTCTAAGAGTTGTTAGAGCGTGTGTCTGAGTGTATCAGTATTAGAGTGTACTACCTGTGTAAGACTTGTTAGAGCGTGTGTCTGAGTGTCAGAGTGTATCAGTATTAGAGTGTACTACCTGTGTAAGAGTTGTTAGAGCGTGTGTCTGAGTGTCAGAGTGTATCAGTATTAGAGTGTACTACCTGTGTAAGAGTTGTTAGAGCGTGTGTCTGAGTGTATCAGTATTAGAGTGTACTACCTGTGTAAGAGTTGTTAGAGCGTGTGTCAGAGTGTATCAGTATTAGAGTGTACTACCTGTGTAAGACTTGTTAGAGCGTGTGTCTGAGTGTCAGAGTGTATCAGTATTAGAGTGTACTACCTGTCTAAGAGTTGTTAGAGCGTGTGTCTGAGTGTATCAGTATTAGAGTGTACTACCTGTGTAAGACTTGTTAGAGCGTGTGTCTGAGTGTCTGAGTGTATCAGTATTTGAGTGTACTACCTGTGTAAGAGTTGTTAGAGCGTGTGTCTGAGTGTATCAGTATTAGAGTGTACTACCTGTGTAAGACTTGTTAGAGCGTGTGTCTGTGTGTATCAGTATTAGAGTGTACTACCTGTGTAAGACTTGTTAGAGCGTGTGTCTGAGTGTCTGAGTGTATCAGTATTAGAGTGTACTACCCGTGTAAGAGTTGTTAGAGCGTGTGTCTGTGTGTATCAGTATTAGAGTGTACTACCTGTGTAAGACTTGTTAGAGCGTGTGTCTGTGTGTATGAGTATTAGAGTGTACTACCTGTGTAAGACTTGTTAGAGCGTGTGTCTGTGTGTATCAGTATTAGAGTGTACTACCTGTGTAAGAGTTGTTAGAGCGTGTGTCTGAGTGTATCAGTATTAGAGTGTACTACTACCTGTGTAAGAGTTGTTAGAGCGTGTGTCTGAGTGTATCAGTATGAGAGTGTACTACCTGTGTAAGAGTTGTTAGAGCGTGTGTCTGTGTGTATCAGTATTAGAGTGTACTACCTGTGTAAGACTTGTTAGAGCGTGTGTCTGAGTGTCTGAGTATCAGTATTAGAGTGTACTACCTGTGTAAGAGTTGTTAGAGCGTGTGTCTGAGTGTATCAGTATTAGAGTGTACTACTACCTGTGTAAGAGTTGTTAGAGCGTGTGTCTGAGTGTATCAGTATGAGAGTGTACTACCTGTGTAAGAGTTGTTAGAGCGTGTGTCTGTGTGTATCAGTATTAGAGTGTACTACCTGTGTAAGACTTGTTAGAGCATGTGTCTGAGTGTCTGAGTGTATCAGTATTAGAGTGTACTACCTGTGTAAGAGTTGTTAGAGCGTGTGTCTGAGTGTATCAGTATTAGAGTGTACTACTACCTGTGTAAGAGTTGTTAGAGCGTGTGTCTGAGTGTATCAGTATGAGAGTGTACTACCTGTGTAAGAGTTGTTAGAGCGTGTGTCTGAGTGTATCAGTATGAGAGTGTACTACCTGTGTAAGACTTGTTAGAGCGTGTGTCTGGGTGTATCAGTATTAGAGTGTGCTACCTGTGTAAGAGTTGTTAGAGCGTGTGTCTGTGTGTATCAGTATTAGAGTGTACTACCTGTGTAAGAGTTGTTAGAGCGTGTCTGAGTGTATCAGTATTAGAGTGTACTACCTGTGTAAGACTTGTTAGAGCGTGTGTCTGAGTATCTGTGTGTATCAGTATTAGAGTGTACTACCTGTGTAAGAGTTGTTAGAGCGTGTGTCTGAGTGTATCAGTATTAGAGTGTACTACCTGTGTAAGAGTTGTTAGAGCGTGTGTCTGAGTGTATCAGTATTAGAGTGTACTACTACCTGTGTAAGAGTTGTTAGAGCGTGTGTCTGAGTGTATCAGTATTAGAGTGTACTACCTGTGTAAGACTTGTTAGAGCATGTGTCTGAGTGTATCAGTATTAGAGTGTACTACCTGTGTAAGACTTGTTAGAGCGTGTGTCTGAGTATCTGTGTGTATCAGTATTAGAGTGTACTACCTGTGTAAGTGTTGTTAGAGCGTGTGTCTGAGTGTATCAGTATTAGAGTGTACTACCTGTGTAAGACTTGTTAGAGCGTGTGTCTGAGTGTATCAGTATTTAGTGTGTACTACCTGTGTAAGACTTGTTAGAGCGTGTGTCTGTGTGTATCAGTATTAGAGTGTACTACCTGTGTAAGACTTGTTAGAGCGTGTGTCTGAGTGTATCAGTAATAGAGTGTACTACCTGTTTAAGAGTTGTTAGAGCGTGTGTCTGTGTGTATCATTATTAGAGTGTACTACCTGTGTAAGAGTTGTTAGAGCGTGTGTCTGTGTGTATCAGTATTAGAGTGTACTACCTGTGTAAGACTTGTTAGAGCGTGTGTCTGAGTGTATCAGTATTAGAGTGTACTACCTGTGTAAGAGTTGTTAGAGCGTGTGTCTGAGTGTATCAGTATTAGAGTGTACTACCTGTGTAAGAATTGTTAGAGCGTGTGTCTGAGTGTATCAGTATTAGATTGTACTACCTGTGTAAGACTTGTTAGAGCGTGTGTCTGAGTGTATCAGTATTAGAGTGTACTACCTGTGTAAGAGTTGTTAGAGCGTGTCTGTGTGTATCAGTATTAGAGTGTACTACCTGTGTAAGACTTGTTAGAGCGTGTGCCTGAGTGTATCAGTATTAGAGTGTACTACCTGTGTAAGAGTTGTTAGAGCGTGTGTCTGAGTGTATCAGTATTAGAGTGTACTACCTGTGTAAGACTTGTTAGAGCGTGTGTCTGAGTGTCTGAGTGTATCAGTATTAGAGTGTACTACCTGTGTAAGAGTTGTTAGAGCGTGTGTCTGAGTGTATCAGTATTAGAGTGTACTACCTGTGTAAGACTTGTTAGAGCGTGTGTCTGAGTGTATCAGTATTAGAGTGTACTACCTATGTAAGACTTGTTAGAGCATGTGTCTGTGTGTATCAGTATTAGAGTGTACTACCTGTGTAAGACTTGTTAGAGCGTGTGTCTGAGTGTCTGAGTGTATCAGTATTAGAGTGTACTACCTATGTAAGACTTGTTAGAGCGTGTGTCTGTGTGTATCAGTATTAGAGTGTACTACCTGTGTAAGACTTGTTAGAGCGTGTGTCTGAGTGTGTGTCAGTGGCGAAGTGATATATCGGAATCAGAACACGTATTTATATTGGAGGAATCCGATGAGCTGTGAAGCTCTTTTCTCACAGAACGTTACAAAAAAACAATACAAAAACATGATAGGAGTGCGAAGTGAACCGGTGCCCGATCGGGCCTCCCCCTTATCCATCGCTTCACCATCCCTCTGTGTGACCAACGTGGTGAAGTATGGCTCAAACAAACCCCACCCATCAAAGGCATGCACAGGGTGGTACAGATGTTTTGTGACCTCCCCCCTTCCCCCACCACCCCCCCACATTTAATTATATAAAACGGTATGTCATTTTTATTTCTTTAAAACAGAAATGAATATTTAAAGAGAAAAAAGTTAGGGATTATTAATTGGGGGTACAGAAAAAAGAAATTCAAAGCAAGCGTCGGTACAACACTGCCTAGAATAAATGTTAGCCGACGTTTTGGGTAATGGGCCTTCACAGCGGAAAGAGCGGTCAGCGGTAGATTGACTAAAGAGCCGTGAATCATAATTACGTGATTGTCAGAGTGTAATAATTATAAAAGGGATTTTTTTGCTGATGGAAAAAGTTTCACAACATAAATGTAAATAATGTACAACTACAGCAAAAACTCCCATCACCAATTGGTGTGGTTTTCACTTTATAGTTCCACTAAGCTTGCGTTACTCGTAACCACCGTTTCTCAATACTGTACAACAATATATTTTGGATCGTAGTCGACAGATATTATATATTGTTTACAATCACACGTCTGTATGAGATAATTTAAATGGACACACCGATATGAGCTAAATCAACTCGACATAGTTGTATGGGATCATTTAATTCGACGCGGATGTTTGAGATAATTTAACTCAACACATCTGTGCAGAATAACTTAACTCATCCGCATGGAATAATTTAAATCGCCACTCTCCGTCTTCAACATATTTGGTGGCGCACAATTTACAAAAACGAAACGCACCCAAATCAGATTCGCACGCGCCGTGCCGCCTGGGCGCTCTTGTCCCTGAAGTGCCACCCGAAGCGGTTACCGGTTTCCCGACTCGTGGGAAACGGTTACCGGTTTCCCGACTCGTGGGAACCGGTTGTTGTAACGGGCTGCGGGCAACACAAGTGCGCACAACAAGCGCGTGCTTTGAGCGCGACGCGCGATTACGGGCGACGCACCGTTAACGGGACAACGCGTCTCCGTTTTTGTTGTGTTGTTACAGCCGACGATTATCTTCTTTGGTTCTTTCGGTAAAGTCACCAGGTAGAAATGAGAATAAAATAATAAATTGATAAAATAAAATAACGCAATAAAATTCTCACGACGTTTCGGCCACAACACAAGCGGCCTTCATCAGGTGAAGGGACGAGACTGTCTGACTTTACCGAAAGAACCCAAAGAAGATGCATCCTTGCAGTCACGAAAGCTTTAAATCGAAATTTAAGCCGACGATTGCCTCGTGCGCGTGTCGTGCGTGCCCTTTAATTACAACTCACCCTCGAGCCCCGGCAGAGGCTCGTGAAGTTCCCAGGGCGCCGTCAATTCACCGCGCCACGAGCGGCGGACGGAGGGCGCGCGCGCATAGCCGGGTCCGGGTTTTTGCGTTGTCGCGTTGGCGTTGGTGTTCGTGCGGGACCGATGGAGAAACGAGCAAAAAAACAACCAAGCAATCGGCGTGGGGGTTTTTCTCTCTTCTACTTTTGGGGTCGCACGGAGCCAGCGGGTTTACGGGGACGGCCTTCTGCGAATTGACGCGGGCGGAAATCCCCGCCCTGATCGCGCGCCTCCGGCCAGACGCGCATTGTGCCAGGGTGAGACTTTGAGTGGGAATTGCGGTGTGCCAACGTGAAGCGCGCGGGTTGTTTCAGGTTGTGTGGGTGAGTGGAGGGTGAGTGGGTGGGCGAGTGTGCATGGGTGAGTGAGTGTGCGTGAGTATGCGTGGGTGAGTGTGCGTACGTGAGTGAGTGTGGGTGAGTGTGCGTGGGTGAGTATGTGTGGGTGAGTGAGTGTGGGTGAGTGAGTGTGGGTGAGTGTGCGTGCGTGAGCATGCGTGGGTGAGTGTGCGTGAGTGAGTGTGGGTTAGTGAGTGTGCGTGGGTGAGTGAGTGTGGGTGAGTATGCGTGGGTGAGTGAGTGTGGGTGAGTGAGTGTGCGTGGGTGAGTGTGGGTGAGTGTGCGTGGGTGAGTGTGGGTGAGTGTGCGTGGGTGTGTCAGTGAGTGTGCGTGGGTGAGTGTGGGTGAGTGTGCGTGGGTGAGTGAGTGTGCGTGGGTGAGTGTGCGTGGGTGAGTGTGCGTGGGTGAGTATGCGTGGGTGAGTGTGCGTGGGTGAGTGTGCGTGGGTGAGTGTGCGTGGGTGAGTATGCGTGGGTGAGTGTGCGTGGGTGAGTGTGCGTGGGTGAGTATGCGTGGGTGAGTATGCGTGGGTGAGTGTGCGTGGGTGAGTGTGCGTGGGTGAGTGTGCGTGGGTGGGTGTGCGTGGGTGAGTGTGCGTGGGTGAGTGTGCGTGGGTGAGTATGCGTGGGTGAGTGTGCGTGGGTGAGTGTGCGTGGGTGAGTATGCGTGGGTGAGTGTGCGTGGGTGAGTGTGCGTGGGTGAGTGTGCGTGGGTGGGTGTGCGTGGGTGAGTGTGCGTGGGTGAGTGTGCGTGGGTGGGTGTGCGTGGGTGGGTGTGCGTGGGTGAGTGGGTGTGAGTGGGTGTGCGTGGGTGAGTGTGCGTGGGTGAGTGTGCGTGGGTGAATGTGGGTGTGCGTGGGTGAGTGTGCGTGGGTGAGTGAGTGTGGGTGAGTGAGTGTGCGTGGGTGAGTATGCGTGGGTGAGTGTGCGTGGGTGAGCGAGTGTGGGTGTGTGTGGGTGAGTGTGCGTGGATTACGCCTGTCTCTATATACTGTACAGCGTATCCCAGAGGTGGCGAGTGTGTAAGGTGAGTGTGTCAGGTGAGTGTGATTGCTGAGTGAGTCAGTCGTGTTAGCTAAGCAACTAAAATAACAAGAAGAGCCATATATTCGAATTCGGTAACCCCCCCCCCCCCCCCCTCTATTTCAAGAGCCGGAATACACTGTGGTGAATATGGGACGGCCGTCCTTAATAAATAAATAATGCCGCCAAGCTGTCCTTCATGAGCCGACGCCTGCCCATGGTAAACTGGACTCCCATGGTAAACTATACTGGTTATTATTTTATATTTTTATTATTTTATTGTTTCCCTTCTACGTGACTTTACCGAAAGAACCAAGAATATGAATATACTGCCATGGTGAACAGGACTTCCATGGTGAATTTGACTCCCATGGTGAATTGAACTTCAATGGTAAACTGGACTCCCGTGAACTGGACTCCCATGGTGAACAATATTCCCATCGTGAACTGGACTTCCATGGTGAATTTGACTCCCATGGATTAACGGGATTTCCATGGTTAATTGGACTCCCATGGTAAACTGTACTTCCATGGTATACAATATTAAGAAGCGGCTCTTGTTTTTTTTTAAGAAACGGATTGCCAGTAGAACAGGGTCCCGTCGAGGATTGAAAATTCATCGTTCATCCCAGGGTAAAAGCTCGACTGTAAGTTTCTGTTTTCGCAGTGTGAAAGGACGTTGTGGTCTTGGAAACGGATCATAACAAACGCGGGGCAAGTTTGTTGAAGTGTCTATCTACCTGAAACGCTAACCGAGACTGTCTCACCGAGGTTCCCTTTAAACGTACGCGAACAATCGTGATGCTGCGGCCCGTAGATGTTTCCACGCAAGTTCAACATTGTACAGTAATTTTAGGGGCCGTCCATAAATGACGTCACGCAATTTTTTTTTTTTACGATTTTTGACCCCCCCCCGCCCGCCCTCGTCACACGGCGTCACAAAAAGTCAGACCCCCCCCCTCAAATATGACGTCACAAAGCCCTGCCCCCCCCCCCCAAAACCATATTTCCATTTTTTAAATAAAACATGCTTCAAATCGCTTTAAACTATTGTCATTGTAATCCGTATTTAATGTGGCGCTGCACTCATCTGCTGTTGTAGGAGAAAACATTTATTAAAAAGTATATTTAATTAAGTGGAACGTGTTGTCTATATTTATTTAAAGTTGCGCATTTTGATGTGACGTCACATTTCTCAACCCCCCCCCCCTCGTCACACATCGTCACAAATGTCTGACCCCTCACCCCCTAGGTGCGTGACGTCATTTATGGACGGCCCCTTACACCAATTGCACACAACGTACACGGGACACACGCTATACTGCCGGCCTAAATATTCGCGTCAGGATACTTGCATCGCTCTCAAGGGGAACGGAGGATGTGCACACAACACGGACATCCCTAGCAGGCTCTTCAGACTGCATGGACATTCAATATGTACACACCGGTGTTGCTGTACCAGTAACGAATAAGCATCTTGTGTTTACGTGACAAACCTTACTGATTAGCTGTGTCGGGTGGTAGCGGGATTCATATTTACCCGATCTAACCCCAAAAAACCCCTATATTATGGACATTCAATATCTGCTGTACTGTATAGGCAGTTCACCAAAATACCAATGACGAATATCTCCCGTGTGGCCCCGAAAGTGCTGCTTGCGAAAAGCACCCATCAAGTCCATGACCCACGCCAGCCTTCCCGTTGTCACCCGCGTGGCGATGTTTACCCACCGTGCCAGGGTACTCATTTGAGGCTGAGTCGACCTAGGTGAAGCCCAGGACCGGTTCAGATAAATCATCGTCACTGGTGTTGGTGGCCGTGAGCGGGAATCGAACTCTCGTCGCAGGGTTTGTAGCGCGCAGGGCACTACCCGCTGCACTACGCTACTCCCCAATAAATAACACACGCACTACATACTGTATTCGCCTGTTTAAACTATTGACTTTTTAAAATAAATAACTGTAGAGCTCTCCCCCCCCACCTCCTCTCCCCCCCCCCTACTGCCGAGGCCTACTAAATAACCACGGCAGATCTCACGCCTACTTCAGTCTTTTTCTTGCTGTGGTTGTCCCACCTGATGACGATTGCTTGTGTTGCCATCGAAACGTCGCGATCTATTATCGTTCTACCTACGTTACTTTACCCGAAAGAACCAAAGAGTGTACCTATATAGCTCTTTTTTTTTAGAAGCGACGTGGGCACAAATGTTTGGTCAACCCAGTGGTTTATCACGTGGAAATGTATCGCAGCTAAATACTCTAAACGGGTGATGTTCATTCTGAATGCGGAGGAACATCCACGCGACCACGGGGAGAGAGAGACACACAAACTCCAAATATACATCAGGTGTCAGGGTTGGGATGGAACCCACGACCTCCTGCACACCAGGCGATGTAGTTAACATCTCCCTGCCACTGTGATGATGATGAGAGAGACACACAAACTCCAAATATACATCAGGTGTCAGGGTTGGGATCGAACTCACGACCTCCTGCACACCAGGCGAGGTAATTAACATCTAGCCACCGTGATGGTGATGAGAGAAACACACAAACTCCAAATATACATCAGGTGTCATGGTTGGGATCGAACCCACGACCTCCTGCACACCAGGCGAGGTAGTTAACATCTAGCCACCGTGATGATGATGAGAGAGACACACACACTCCAAACATACAGCAGGTGTCAGGGTTGGGATCGAACCCACGACCTCCTGCACACCAGGCGAGGTAGTTAACATCTCCTAGCCACTGCGGCGCCCCTGTTTGCAGTTTCGGTTCTCTGGGTGATTTCCTTCCTCGCGAAGCATCGAGAAGGATCAACGTGGTTAAAAAAGAGCACGCGCACATGTAGAGATGACGCATTGACTATTTCGAGAGGCGAGTTAGAGAAGGGCATAACGACACATTATGTTAAGGTGATTATTATTATCGATGGACGAGACTGGTGACACAGTGGATGTAGTCACAGTGATTTCCTGCTCAAATGAGCAGAGGCGATGTTCGTCTCATGTCGACATCCCTGAGCCCGTAGTGTAAATTCCACATTTCTATGACGGGGTCGATTACACTCACAGGACAACCAAACTTTCCCATAAAGTGATACTCTATTTTTGATCGATGCCTGAGGGATGATGGGGCGGAGTCAAACCATAAACCAGGAATTTAACTCGCAAGCTTCCGATTCCTCTCGCCGCCCTGGCACTTAGCCACCAGGAAACACATTGGGAACCTTTCCAGCGATACAGAAAGAGTAAAACACGGATCGGAGTCAAACACGCCAGAGTGAAGAGACATCACATCGTAAAGAACAGTCACAGGGATCGGAGCACAACACGGCGCTAGAATGGATGATTATGGCTGATGGTCAAGACTCAACAACAACAACAAATCATTGCCTGGCTGCGACAGTGTGCAACATTCTCTGTGGCGTGCCGTGACGGGTGCTGCAAGACCCCACCGTGTCCCTCCAGTGCTCTCCCGAGCTGCATGGGTTTACCGTCGCCGAACGAACACGTCGTTCTAAGTTTAACACGCAGGCTTTCGCGACCAATATCTTCCATAATAGAGGTGTTTGGGTTAGGGCGCGTAAATATATAAATGTGTCGTTAATGTTGTGGCTTGGCTCTCCAACACACCGGTGTGCTGTAACATTGACGAATTGGCCGCGTTATGTTTACGTGACAACACCTTACCAGTTGGCTGTGTCGGGTGGTGGCGGGTTTTAACGACACATTTATACATTTACGCGATCCAACCCAAAAAGCCTCTATTATGAACACATTGTAAGGTCGCACCCGTTAACACACACGAAGTGCTTGCCCACAAATGAACCACAAGACCTCGGCGATCTCGCTCAAGAAGCAT